CTTCCTGGAATGCAGATTCATTTCTCCATAACACCATTTCCCAGACAGATCCATTTCTGAGTATCAAGTTTTTAGTTCATCTTAGTTTGTATTTCTGAGCCCATGACTGTCAGCCGCATATTTGAAAAGCCATCTATTTCTCAGGCATTTAAACTAACCTGTTCATGGATATGCATGGCTTGTAAACCTCCTTCCATATACCAATCTTAATGAGATTTTGCTCTTCAGCCTTCCAGTTACGGGCAAAACAATCTGGTTTTGTGACTCTGGTGTGTCTGCTTCGAATGTGAAATAGGCTGGCACATTTCTGTCTCTCACTTTTGTATCTGGGTGAAAATTTACGTTATGCACCGAGAAGCACAGTTTAAAATCAATAATAAAAATACTTTCATCTAACTTTTCTGGATTTCATTTATTTTCAGGTGTGTGTAAGGATAAAAAAATTTACCAGAGTGACAGTCTAGAAAATGGAGCTCAAAAAAAAAAAAAATCCCTATGTAATTGTTAACAGTAATTGTGTCCAAAGTAAATTCCATTTAATATGGACTAGAGGATGTATAGGTAATTTCCAATTTAGGCAGAATGCCAAACAGCACAATAGATTTTATATTTCTCTCCAGGTGTGTAAATTGTTAATTAAACAAATTCAATTAGTTAAGTGAAGTATAAAGGACTGTATCCCAATAATGCTCAGCACTTAACCTTTACCTCTAGCTATGGATTATTAGCAGTATGAAATGTCTTTTGTGCAGCCTGAGAACTCATCCTTGGGCTCCCTGGGTGCTGGCTGTGGACATGCTGATGTTGCTGCCTGTGCCCAGGGAACTGCACGTGGCTGACACACTTCTGGCCAGCTGACCCATGTAATCTGACCTTCTGCATGCTGCGCTCTTGTAAAAGGAGGCAAATACTCTTAAATCACCATCGGGATAGTTTAACACATTTTAATTTGCATTTACAAGAGGTGACAAATGGGCTTAGAGTCACATTCTGTGGAAGTTTATCAAAGAACTTTCATTTACTGGGAGCAACATGTGAGCATTGGACCAGATGATTTCAAGAGGTTCTTTCCACCCTAATTTTTTCCCTGCAATTTTAAGAATTATGTGATTGAGTGACTAAATTGAATCAAAGATTCTCAATCGGTGAGCTCTGATAGCCAAAAGTAACCAGACTATCTCAGTTGGAGTTATCATCACTATGCTGATGCTATAGTGCATCTTAGAGTCATGGAATAAAGGTTGGGAAAGATCTCTGAGATCATCAAGCCCAACCTTTGAGCAAACACCACCGTGTCAACTAAGCCATGGCGCTTAGTGCCATGTTGCATCATTTTTTGGACACTCCAGGGAGAGAGTGAATCCAACACTTCCCTGGGCAACCCTTTCCAGTGCTTGACCACCATTTCAGTGAAGAAATTCTTCCTGATGTCCAACCCAAATCTCCCTTGGTGCAGCTTGAAACCATGTCCTCTTGTCGTATCACTGGTGTTGCTGTGAAGGAACTCTTGAAGGGAAAGGGATCTCAGGCACCAATAAATAACTATGGTGCCAACACAAGGAGGTTATCTTGAAATACCTGTAGCCCAGACTAGCTAACCTGTTATGTCCCTGAACTGCATGAAGCTTTTAGTGCTGCTGAAGAATTTCTTAAAGCTCACCTGGAGCAAGAATAAATTGTTGAGGAAGGAGATGTGGGAATGGGGATATTACAGAGCTCACTGGTGAGGTAGTGGTTATAGCCCCAAGCTTTATAGGTTTAAATCTTCAGATTTGTTATTGGACTGTATCTGTTTTATAATAACATGATGATTTTTCTTCACAGACTGGTGGTCTCAGACAGTTCGAAGCAAAAGTGTGACTCTGTTTGTCTGAACTATGAAGGTTGATTCAAACCCAGGAATTTTCTGATCAGTCTGAGAAGCCCAAAACAGACAAACTAGAAGTCAGATGACTTAGAGGACTTAGTCCTGGACCACTTCCTTATCTCATAATCTTTGAAAATTACAAGTACCCATGCCCTACAAAATTAAGCCAAATTAAAATGGTGTTATTATTGATTTAAAAGATTCTAAAACCTCAGAATCAGATGCAGAGCACTCACAGAGTGTGTCACAAATTGAATTCATTCTTTTCAAATAAATGTTTCCATTCAGGAAGAGAAAATCAATTTTTGAATGTAGTAGGCAGACAGATCAATTTGTTGTAGAGCTGTTGTTCAAGGAATCCTCAGTCTCATATTATCCAGGTTTAAAAAAAGTTGATCTAATTTAAATTTTTTAAATATGTAAATTATGCCCTCATCTGATTTCTGATGTGAGTCGGTCAAAGACTGGGACTGCACCACAGGAATCTGTTCACAGATGGTTTGTGAGCATTTTTATTTATCTTGGTTTAACCATCATTATGATGGTATCGAGGAGCCCTTTTGAGAAGCTGGTTCAGTGTGGGCAGGCAGGGAAGGGGATGGATCCTGCAGGAGTTGAAAGGGCACAGCAGAGAGACAGGAGGCAAATAGGAAAGACAAGAAATGGATATGCATGAACTGAACAGCCAGTGGAGAAGGAAAAAGGACTTTTGGTCCATGGCTCAATTAATTAATCAAGGCAACAACACACAGGCACCACACCAGAAGATTTAATTGGGGAGATTTTCAAGCCACAACAATGCACACCCAAACATAAAAATATAAAAAAGCCAACATTCTAGAAAACATATGCCAATAATTCTGAAGTTAATATTACTTTTTCAGTAATAAAATCCTTGGTAGTGTCACCCTTGTTTTTGTCATGCTCAGCTTGGATCACTTCAACACAAACAGCAAAATTCCAAACATTTATGACTCTTGTCACAGTTTACTTTGCCTGCATTTTGGGACTTCCTATCACCAATGTTTAGCTGAGGATTTTCATGGACCGCATATTCAAGTAGGATTATGCTTTCCCTGCCCTGAATCAGGAACCTAAAGCTGATGACTGGGGCAGCCTGAGAGTCTCTACATCACTGTCAAACTTCTTTCTCATATGATTATAATCTGGAGAGCAGGTACAAGGCTACTCTGTATTTAGATTAATGAATGGAAATTCTCTGCTTTAAATATTTCATATTGACTGAAAGACAATGATTTTTCTGTGTTGTTCATATCCAAATGCTATTCAATCCCTATGCTCTCCTAAGTAGCCATTGGCTCAGGTACCAAAACTTCTTTTCTCAAGTGGGATAATGCCATCCCTGGAAACATTCAAGGCCAGGTTGCTCTGGGCTCTGAGCAACCTGATCCAGTTGAAGGTGTCCCTGCTCATTGCAAAGGAGTTGGAGCAGGTGAATTTTAATAGTCCTTTCCACCCCAAACCATTCTGTGAGTCTATAATATCATTTTCTTCAATGAAGCTCCACATCAGTCACCATAGGAAAAGTAACACTTACCTCTCAGTACATCAATAATTTTCTTTACTTGCAGTTTTGATGGGCAAGGACCTGAGTTATGGCTATCATCCTCTGTAGCTACATTTTTCTTTGAAAGAAATAAAATTCCATCCAGTCATTTCATGACACCTTTTGAGTTTCATGGTGTTGGTACCATGATAAGGTTTTGCTTTCTAAATATAGAGTAGACATCTCAAGTGAGCATTAATAACCTGCTTAATGTTTTTATCTCATTCACATATAAGCCCAACTTTGGGCATGCAAACAACTTTTTGAAGATGGTGGGAATTTGCTTGTGAGGTGCTACATTTGCTTTAGCCCAATGTGCATTATTGGGGCACTTAATGATTTTTGTCCTGACCATTTTAATGCCCATTCTAGCATCTGTCATGCATGAAATTCCTCTTACTGACACACTTATGTGGATAATCTGGCATTTAACTCCTATCTTTACTGAGTCAGGTGCATTTTGCTTTCATCTTTATTCTAAGCCAATATGGTATTTGCTGATTACCTTTATCAATCTCTCTGCGCTAAATTTGAGTATATTCACTGAACAAACTGCACTATAAACAACCTGTTTGGTATGTAGATAAGAACTGGATCCTTGTAATCCAAAATTGTTATTACTTCAGGCCCCAAAAGTGCAATTTAAGATCAAAGCTTGAATTGGTATCATAAATGCAATTCAAATAAAAGGAAAACCTGAATGATTTTCAGATAAATAAAATCAGGCTAAATAAATGTAAATCTATAACAATTTAACTCACGTAATTTAGTGTATTTAATTTAATTGTTTATTTTTTGTTAGGTCTACAAACAGAAAGAACTCAAGGTGTTAATCAGCTGAACAGGTGAGAGCTGAGAGTACAAGTTTTTCCTAGTACTTCAGAATTTTACAACAATCACTCAATTTTTCTACTGTATGTAATAGTATCATATCATATCATATCATATCATATATATTCTAACTTCTAAAATCTTATTTGCTACAATTTCACACATTATTTTTTGTGTTTTATTTTCCTTTACACAATTTTTGTTGTCCATGCCCATTACTTCTCATAGCTTTAATACTCATGGTTTTGCTTGGATTAGGTAAAAAAAAATTTATACACACATGCAAAAAAGAGCAGGATTACCAACAAAATATTTTTAGCTAGTAAGAAAAAAAAAATAAATAAAAGTCCTACAGTTTGATATTAATTGAAATGTTGATAAGCAATAAAATATACATTACAGACCAGCTCTATAAACAGCCCCAGTATACTGGTCAGTGTTTTGAATATAATTTCTGCATTTTCTTGTTGTCACTTAAATATATACTGATGCAGGCATCAAAGTCCTGCATGCAACTTTAGTCTACCTATGACCATGTAAACTTATCAACAGAATTTAATAAATAACTGAAATGGAATTGTATACTCCCATACATAGTTAAATTTTACTTTTTCTTTTTTGTAACAAAGGTTTAATTACATTTACAAGAGCTAAAGAGCTAGAAGAAAAGTGACAGCTAATATAAATATTTTCTTGATCATTTGATAAATACTTTTTTTTTTCTTTTTTCCTTAGATATTCAGCTCTTTTCAGCAGAATAACAAGGAGTAGGTAAGTTACAATGATGAATTATTCTTTCCAGTTTCATGTTCTATTTATAGCCTTTTCATTCATTAGAGCTTTTAATTTGTCTTGGGTTTGCTAGTTTTCACGCTCTCATGTATTTTTTACAAAATAATTTATTACAATCTATATTTCTTTCTTTTCAAAATTATAATCCAATTACTTTCTCAGTAAACAAGAATTCCTCCTTTTTTATGTGAAATGAACTACCAGCCAAAGCAGTTTCTGATTAGACAAGCTAATTTTGAAAGAACAGATAGAATGAAGCAATGAACTGGATAGAAATAATAATGGAGCATACCTTGTTAGATAACAAATGGAACAGACTTTGGAGACAATTAATGCATGAGATACTTAATTCTGAGGTATGTTAAACAAATTTTGTCTTATTTATTTGCTGCTATAAATCATAGTTAGTTTCCTTAAATAGCGGGCTCTAACCACCCAGGTTACATCATATTTCTGTAAATAAATGCTGTGCTCTTTACTGGAAACGCCAGCACCCTTTGTAGGAGAGCATGTATATATTTATATACACATAGATATAAATATAGACAGATCAATCAATTGGTTGATCCAGTAAAGGACACTGGTCTAACAATGTTTGGGATTAACTTTGCTGTGAAATACTTGGTAATTTCATTCAATGGATAAATATTATTTCTTCTACTTTGGGGTTTTAAACGAGTTACAGACTGAGAGGTCATTACTTGCTGGGGTTGATTCTGTTTCAAGTCTTATACTAATGTAGCACTTTTTATTGGGTTTGTTGTGAAGAGAGGCGTGTCAGGCCTTGTTCCTCAATTTCCTGCACTTGAATCAATCTGACCTCCTCGAGTCTGAGAAGCAGCACTTTATAGTCCAGTTGGAATAGGATAAGGATGACATCTCTTATAAATATGAGAAAACATCTTCCCTCACTAGCATTGCATCCAACTCAAGTTAAAGAGCCATCAAAAAGACTTCATTTTAAATGTGTGCTATTAAAGATATTAGTAGGAAGGCAGCAAAAACCACCAGTCCCATGAACAGTTAATCTTTAGCCTTGAAGAAGGGAAGGGAATCATGAGTCTTTACCTCTTTCTGCAAACCCTGTAGGTACTCACATTATGCAGATTACATTGTTTTCCTGTGCTCTTATAACTTCTATGAAACCAGTCCTTCTGCTCCTGTTCATGCTGCAAACTTCAGGTTTACCTAATGCTTTAATAACAAAAACTTCTGATGGTGGTGTTTCTGGAGAAATAAAACCAATCCTCCTAAATGTGTGAATGGGTTTTGTTACAAAAGCAGTAGCCCATTCCATCTGTGTTTCCTGCTTCCTGCTTTTATTTTTCAGCACTAGTCACATGGATGGTAATATTTCTTGGTGAATGGTAACCTACCTGTAAGCATAGCATATAGTGATTTTTTTTTTTACTTCCAGATGCTTCCCCTTATTAACTTTCTCTCAGAGATTATGCTGCCAAATCCCTCTTGTCTCTCCTCTCTGTATATGAAATCATCTCTAGCTGCCTTCTCTCCCTTACACAAATTGAGCCTTAGTACTGATCCAGTAAAATAACTTCATAGTTTCAACATCCTACTTTACTTATGAATCCCTGACTAATTCTGTATCATTTCTCATATCCTCTATTCACAGTTTTCCAATAAGGACTTTTGATTTCCTCTTGAGAGTTCCTACTTTGCATGAAAGTCCTTTCCAAGATCATTACCTTTCGGGCCCTGTGATTTCTCTTAGAGCACCCACTCCTATCCTCTGACTATCCAATTTACCAGTAGATATTATTTTTATATAGATTTGAGCCTTTCTGCCTTTCAGAAGTCCTTAAAATATCAGAATACCACTCTGCCAGAGAACACACAAACACATTATAACTGACTGACTGCCAGTTATTAATAGTATGCGCTATTAACATATATTATGTGTTAATAAATATGACCAAATCTAACTTGGCCTGCCTGCTCCCTCTCATTATATATGTATTCAGTTAAGAACAGAGGTTAAAGATTAAAGAGTCATCTAGGTTGGTGGAAAGGTGGGTAATAGACAAGAAAGTCATTCCGCGTTTTATTTGTACATCCTATTTTCATTTCTCATGGGATCTGTTGCCAGAAAAAGACTTTTGCTTTTTCATGTCTCAATCAGATCCTCCAGGTGCTTCATACTTCTGTCAAATGTGACAAAATTTAGTAATTGGTCTAATGTGGGCTTCTATTTGGCTATTATTTTCTTCCTGGCCAGGTGTAGGCCAGGGTTTGATGCTGGTGCAGAGCAAAAGATTTAGAACACAGGCAGGTTGTGCTTTAAGATTCAGCTGTCTTAGGATGTGCAATGAAGGGATAGAGACAAGCCTTGGAGCACAGATTGAATCTCTCACATGGAAACACCAAGGCTGATGTGTTCCCAGTTTAGCCTGAATAAGTTGGAGAGGCAAGGGTGGAAAGACACCTGAAAGCAGGAACCAGGGTGATGGGAGAGCAAGAACGAGTCTGAGGAGGAGAAAAATGATGGAGGCAGATTGTAACAGTAACCAGTGGTGATTTCCAACACTTATTCTATCAAAGCTCCTCCAGCACAGCCCCGTGAGGGGCCTGGGGACCAGGGAGCTCTCTGAGGAGTGATGGTGAATGACCTAGCCTGGAGACAATGAAGATTTCAAGGCTTGCCTGTATTTCATCAGAAAACTGAGTAAAATCAGCTCATTTCCTGGGAAATTGTTCTCTATTGATGAACCAGCATTTTCTGTAGGAAGACAAATATTCTGTTGATTATTTTGACCATCGTAATTTTCATATCTTGTGCTATTTCTGTCTGCTCCTTGACTTGCAGGAATTGTCATTTTTAGTTACATTTGCACATTGACTCAACACTGGCTGGAGGCCATAGATTACAGCACAAATAGCCATAGAAATTGAGAGATTTAGGATGTTTTTTTGTTTCCTATCCAATTAATGAACCCCCTAACTAATGCTGCCAGAAACTGAGACCATCACATGACTGATCAGTCCTGAAAAAATGGAACCATAATGCAACATTTCAATGTTGATATGTTCAGCATGTTTCAATATATTTTTTTTGTATTGCTGGCATAGAAATATACCACAGCAAAACATTAAATTGCTAAGTGTGGATAGTTTATACCCAAGCAAAGTACAATCACAAGTGATGACACTGTACTCCTCCTTTTGTGGCAAAGCTGATTTAAATTTAAGTTTAGTTCACACTTTTTAATTTATTTCTCCTTTTAATTTCCTCTTTTCATATAGGGAAAATTATGATCTTATGAAACTGACATGAAATGATCAAACAATATTGAACAACCTAATGAAAATCTTAAGCAAAAGTCATTGTGAATTAGGTATTTGCTAAACTGACAACACAAGCCTTTGTAAACCTGATATTGTTCTTATGTAAACTCATGAATGGAGACTTTCTCAAATAAATTACTTAATAACATCAGAGTCATTGGCTGAGTAAATATATCCCAGGGGCGCATACTAAGATTCCTGAATTTAAATGTTGAATAGAACTTCATATTTGTCACCTTTACTAACGAGTTTTTCCTTATGAAATCATTATTAGCATGAAAAAGTTAAATTTTGTATCTAATTTCTTGAATTAATGCTGTTTGAAGACCCTAAGGGTTTGAAAGTTCTTTCACTGGAATTCATCATTTACATAATTTTCATAGCCCCAACACTTTGCTCTCTGCTATGAATGCACATTGTGGAGTTTTTATGCATTAAAGCAGCAACTTCTATTTTTCTCCACACAAAACAATTAAGAGAAGAATAACAGGTAATAAACATTTTTAATCTTTAATATTACATTAACAGTGAAGTGCCATATTTCATGCTTTCACAACCACATTGCATGCTGAATGATGCATTTTTGGTCCCTCACTATGAAGATATTTGATTAGAAAAGAAAAACAATTGAGTTATTTGAGATCAGTGGAGCTTTCCATCATTTCCTGCTTGAGAAACTTGTGAGTGCACAGCAGCATGGCCAGATTTTTAAGCAGACTAGACCATATTTTCTCAACTCTACATTATCATAGTTCAGCCATGATCTATGAATGTTTACTTGATTTTTTTTTTTTTTTGTTGCTAATATAGCTTATTATATGGGAGATTTATTCTCTTTTAAGCTGAAACCAGCGCTGCACAGTTTCTGACCAAAATCTCTCTTGATGTTAACCTCTCCTCTGCTTACTGTTATTAATAATAATTTTTATTACTGCAGGTCTTTTTCACTCAGGGTCATGGACATATGGTAGAAGTAAGAGATACGGGTAGGATGGACCCAAAGTGGAAAACCAAATTAGCAGCAAAGAGAGATTTAATTTTTGCATTCTTTGGGCTTAACATAACTGCAAAGGTAACATGACAGTCCAGACAGTGTTTTGTACAGAAAAACTGAACTTATCTCTGTGTCAGGGCTAAACTTGTTTGAAAACAGCCCACAAATAATCTTTATGTGGTAGACAAATCTGTTCCCCAATTTAACAATGTGCATAAGAATTTTTATTGTTATTGTTGCCATTATTATTATTAATAATAATAATAATATAATATTATTATTGTCTGTGCACAGTGAAAACACTAATGTAAATAATGCATTCTGCTTTGTGGCAAACTTTTGGTAAGGATTCAATGTGAGATGAAGATTCCTCTCTTAGGTATACATTTCTCACCCCACTATGGGTGTCTAAAAGGCCATTGTACCCACATAAGATGAACTGACTTTACCAAATGCTTCTCCCTTGGCTGGGATGGGAACACATTTAATGGAATTACTTCTATATGTTCAATATTTAAAGTCTGAATCTGAAGCCAAATGTGATCTTTGAGTTTGATTCATTTGCCCATATATTCACATCTAGTACTATTTAGGAAGCCTAGTGTCATGTACTCATATAATTAAAGAATTTATGCCACCTTCTTACAGCAGCCCCTGGAATTACTCTCTACTATCCCAGCTC